GGACATTAGCTCCTATCTCTTCTGCATCTACAAGTTGCCCCTTGATGATTTCATTCCATTGATCTAGGGTCACATTTCACAAACACTCTAAAGACACACAGTTCTGCCTTTGTCACTGGTCTCAATACCTCTATTGCCTTCTGTTAGATGTCTAACATTGGGGCTTGGATGAGAATTGAAATTCTTCAAGTTGAACATTTGCAAACACAAAACTTTGCCAAGTTTTCCAAGGAGTGGCAATCTCACAGTTTGCCACACTGCCCCTTCCTTTTTTTTTAAAGCCAGCGGAAGGGAGCCCCACATTTCTGACAGGGGATATAGCTCAGGGCTCCATCAGAAATGGAAAGCAGCATTTCCATTCTGACAGCACTTTCAAAGCACAGAATTATCAGAACAAGGCAAAACATGTCCCCTCTTCATCACAGTCAGCCACTGTTTTCTGACATTTAAAGGTTCCGACAGCCACTTTGACAGTTGCTATTGAATGATAAGTACATAAGGTAAGTGCGATCTTAGAGCATTGAGAGAGTAGGGTAGCAGATAAGTACACTATCAGGTGGACAAATAGGAGGCTGGAAAAACACAGCAAGCCAGACAGCACCTGGAGGAAAGGAGAAGTCAACATTTTGGGTATTACCCTTCTTCAGGATTGGATTGGGAGGGATAGGGGGGAGCAGGGTGGTAGCAGAATGGTGGTGATTGGTGGACACCAGTAGTTGGTACAACCTGGTTGGTCGATGGGAGGGATGAATCCAGTTGGTAGCTGGAAGGGAGGGTCAGTAGATGGAATGGAAGGGAGGAGGCGGGGCTGGAAAGTGAGCTGGGGGATGGGTGTCAGAATGTCAGGTGGGTTGAGTGTCAGGATCCAAAGTAAGTCACATTCAAACTGGGTAGGATGCCAGCCAGCGTGATGCTAGATGAGTAGGGAGGGTGCCAGTTCAGTAGGGTGTCAGCTGGGTAAGGTGCCTGATGAGTAAGGGATACGGCACCAAGCAGAATGTTTAACTAGAAGAAATCAGACAACAGAATACTCTTGGGATATTATGACGAATATGAAAATCACAGGAATGTGTGCTTGCTGTCAGAAAAAGACAAGCCCATAAGAAACAGGAACAAGAGGAGGAGGTCATTTGGCCCCTCAAACCTGCTCCACCATTCAATAGGATCATGGCTGATTCAACACTCCCGCATCCATATTCTTGTATTCTTTCCCTCACCCTTGATTCCCCTCCTCATCAAGAATCTATGTCAGAGCTTATAGTTTTTCTGTTTCTTGGTTGCTGTTGATAATCCTGTGTCAGTCCTCTGCGGAGTTGTTATCCCAAACAAACCATCAGGCTCCTCACTGATGCAACCTCTTGAGACGAGGCTGAAGATACAAAGCTTGGTACAGCCACTGAGATGGCCAGAGGTGCCTGCATCCTAACTAATAACTGCTTACAACAAGCTGGACTTCCAGAGGAGGAGGAACGATCAGCAGCGTTAACATTGGTCACCAGTGTGTCTGGTTGCTACAGCAGCTCAGCAAAACAACCAATCCAGTCACAGTTTATGCAGTTCAGTCTCCAATTCCCAGTGCACCTAAAATCATTCTCACCCTTACTACTCCCAGCCATCTGGTCTGCCACTGACAGAGGAACTGGCAGAGTGAATGATAAGGGACAGGAGAAACTGCAGATGCTGGAGAATCCGAGACACAAGGTGCAGAGCTGGATGAACACAGCAGGCCAAGCAGCATCATAGGAGCAGAAAGGCTGACGTTTCAGGCCTAGACCCTTCATCAGAAATGGGGGAGGGGAAGGGGGTTCTGAAATAAATAGGGAGAGAGGGGGAGGCGGATAGAAGATGGATAGAGGAGAGGATAGGTGGAGAGGAAACA